GAGAGAGAGAGAGAGAAATAAATGCAAAAGGACAATGGAAAAATAATCGACCATTTTTCATCATCATCCATTGAATTAAATCCACCTTTCCAAGAACTCTTTTGAGATTCCACACACTAAAATCATAATCTATTTTTCATGAAAAAATCGAAGGCCTATGGTGAGGGAGAGAGAGTACAATAAACTCAAAGGACAATAGAAAAATCATAGTCTATCTTTCATCATCATCCATGAAATAAATCCATTCTCCAAGAGCTCTTTTGACATTCCAAGTTCTGGGGCACAACTTGACCTTAAAAAAAGATAAAAAGGTTTGGGACTTTTGACCTAAGAAATTGGGGTTCGAATGAGTTAGTAGAATTTCAATGAGTGATACTGCATTCATGCAGGTCATAAGAAAGCATTTCGATGATCTTGCATTTATCAGGATAAATGATGAAAATTCTCTCAGCCAGAATCGGATTGTGTATACAGACTGGAAGGATGATAGGGCTAAGCTCATGGTACGTATTAAGAACCTTTGTGACTCATCGATTTGCTTATCACTTTTGCTTAAAGGAATAAACTTAGCAAAAAAGGGCGGAAAAATAAATATCGAGCAATTTAGTACTTGATAATGAAGCATAAAGCAATTGTGTTTTGAATCAAATTTACAGGAAGAGGTGAGGAAAGATATGCAAAAGGTGACCAAATCAAAGGTTGATGCTGCAGTGGGGTTCCGGCATGTTATTGACCTTCTATCTTCAGAAGGAAAAGTGATTGTGGGGCACAACTGTTTGTTAGGTATTTCAATTCCTGCCTCTGGTTTCTAGTTTCTGTGGATACCACCGAGCAAAGTTATATAATAACTTCACTGGTTTTAAGATCCGGGAACTACTGTTGCGTATGTTATAACTATGGAAGTCCCACTGATTTATAAAATATCGGGAAATTCATCAAAATACCTGTATGAAATGAAGTATTTGCAACTATTCCAAATCAAGGCCATGTGCTTTTTTATGGGTATTTTAGAACTAAATCAAAATATTGGGTAAATTGTTCACCGCTCATAGGTATTGGCTATTGCCTAAGAAGCCATCCATGAACGACAGAGCATCAAACATGGCTGTGTTGTCAACAAGGATGTTGATATGAGGGAGAGGAAATGTTCCTTCTCTGAGCATGATTTGTTTCAAATGAAAAATTTGGAGTCTTACTACCAAATTCCATCCTTAATTGTTAATGGATACCACAATACAGATCCATTCGGTGCGGTCTGCTCGAATGAAATTTGCTTTCAGTAGCTTTTCCATTTCCACTTTTCTCAGCACAACTTCTGCTTCATAGGTCTTGCACCTGGCTGGGATGTCACTTAAAGAGGGAATTAAGCCTGCCGTGTTGTTGTAGCTACCCCCTTTGTAGTTGTTGGTATGCATTATTCCTATACAACAACAGAGATTGTTTTTTACCATGGAAACCAAAATGTCCAAGGCCATTGATATCCATTGCCCATGGGGATGTAGTGACTCTTGCTACTGATCAAAGAGCTTTTTATTTCACTTATTTTTTCTGATAAGAGAAATTCATGTTGGAATTTCTGCTTTTTCTTTTGTATTTATTTATGCATGCTTTTCTTCTTGTTTTTAGTTTTCTGCCCTTGGTGGCTGGGAGGGAGAGGTGGTGGTCTTTGGCTTGCTTTGGATGTGCACTTTTGCTTTAATAAAATTATAGCATTTCACTTGCGAACAAGAGAGAAAATTATAGTTATTGACAATAAATTGAAAATATGGCTTTTTCATCATGTATCCCAGCACCAAGCGTACATACTGTCATATTCTTCAGCACATAGTAAACATTCAGAATTGTTTGCATTGGATTTGGGAAAATGTAAACCATGATAAGAGAAGATTAGTATGGCCCCTGAGCAAGGATGACATGCACATATTGAGCAATGATCCAAATATTTGTCTTGTCCATGTGGTAGCCTATCTCAACGGGTCCAATGTGTCAGAGATTCAAGCCTCTCAGAATAATATACCATCATCCATAGGATCATACGATAGTGTAGTTCGAGCTACATCCCCAGTCTGTTCCTGCCGTTGGATAGTTGGAGATTAATTCCTAGTGAGGAGAATGGCCACTTCAGGCCCTACTATATTAATTTCGAACCATGCATCAGTTAGAATGGAAGGTGGATATAGGCTTGAAGTGCCATATACGACATACAATTGGATGTATACTGTCCTTTGCATTCAACCTGAGAATTTAACGGTCATCTCAATATTTGAGACTGACTTATGTCTTTCATGATATGCAGATATTGCACACGTACACAGCAAATTCCTTGGGCCTCTTCCTTCAACCCTAGCAGAGTTCGCATCTTCAATTCACAAACTCTTGCCATATATCATCGATACCAAGCGGCTTTTGATATCTGAGCTCGCGATCCAACGGTTGATGAAGAAGACCGGCACATCTTTGTCTTCGGCTTTTTCCTTCTTGTGTTCACAAATGGTTTCTTCTTCTGATACCTCCTCTTCAAATTCTCGCCCATTTTTTAAAGTTGAAGTCTTAACTGATGAAGAAAGGTTTGCTTCTTAATTATCACAAAGTACTCTAAGCTTTGAAAGATTTTATTCCTTTATTGGTATTTCAAGGAAATGCAGCCGTCAGCCCTTTTCTTGTTCATTTTTATTTGGCTATTAATCTGTTATAATATTGGGTTCAGATTCAAATCAATCAAAATTCAGGAACATCATTTTGGTAATCATGGCTTTTTATTTTTAAGCTTTTTTTTAAAACTTTTCATTTGCATGATTGACCAAATTTCTGAAATTATGTATTTTTTTTTTTTTCTGAAATTTATGTACTTTTTTTTTTCTTTCCTTTTATGAAAAAGTTAATGTTATTTGTGGGGCTAAAATGGAATTGAGTTTCTTGATATGTTCAACCCTGCTAGGTTGTAGATTGAGTGTTCAGCAAATGTTGGTCTTGAATATAATAAGGGTGTGGTTTCTATAAGGTTGCAACCTTAAACATTCCAATTAAGGCGCACCTCCAAATTTTATCATAACATGTAATTTTGTTGTAAAACATTCTTAGGATTATCTTAAAATCTATTTTCATATCTAGTTAGAAAATTTTAAACTTCAAAAAGGGTTAAAACGAAGTAGATCTATAAACATATGAAAATTTTACAAATGGATGGTCTAGATAATGTGTTGCAAGATGCATTATTTCTGGGACTCAAAACTTTTTTTCTTTTCATATTCATACATCTCGATGTCGAGATGATGAATTAGAGGGTTTTTCAACATTAAAACAACCTTTCCGATAGATTTTTGAGGTGCATTTGTAATTCTACATTTTAAGGTTGCAACCTTATCTAAACTTGTTCTATATAATAATGTAGTGGAATGTAATATAGCTGAATTTTGGTTGTGAATTTTTGGAAAAAAAAAAAACCAGAAATTGGTTGTCCATTTTCTTTCTTCTTTCTTTCAGCTTTTTAATATTTACTTCAGATTTAGTCCTGCTGACCAAATCCAGTGGATTTAGGCCAACGTTTTACTATGTTAATTGTCTATTGCCAGTGTTACAAGGCCACTTGACTTATGTGTGTTGAGATGTCTCGATACAATTTGACACAGAGTGGATACATATATATGTGTTGGTAGCAGAATTAATCCAGCATGCGCATCTGACTGCATGTCAATATTTTCGGTTGATGAGACACCTTGTGTCTAATGTGTTTTTATGTAAAAAATGCATTGCAGAAGTAGGAATTTGAGCCCTCAGCCTTTTGAGAGGTGCTAAAACGCTTTATCACTCCCCTACAAGTGACTCTGTTTTTACTGTTGGAAAACCATATTTATTTATGTGTGTCAAAATATGTATTACGAAAACAAAATTGACGCATGGGCACAAACTCTGCTTTAAAATTTCCTTTCAAGAAATCATTTTAATATTATAATTTTATTATTAAAATTCCTATAATGTTTCTATTTTTAATAGTTGATATAAGTAATTTATATGGAATTCTTTACTAAAAGTTACTTGTAGTGACATGTTGGGTTTTTGACCCAACATATTAGACACCTTAGGCACGTTAGGTATCCATGTAACACTGTGCATTTGCATATAATGGCTATTATGCCACTTGTTCTGCTTAGTTTTTAAAACCATGTTCTGTACACTTCAGGGTCCTGATGATATTTAGAAGGCTTCCATATTTAGTTGATATTTCTTGCTGGCATCTAGAGCATGTTATAATCAACTAGGGTTTTCTATTGGTTAGAAGCATGGTGCATTCTCTTGGAGTTTCCCTCTTGTACTATGTTTCCGCTAGTTATCAGAAATTTGTCATTTTTCAATATTCGGAAGCTATTCCAATGAATTAAGGTTTTGATTAGTTTTTAGAAGCATGATATAATGGAGTGGGATTTCCTTGCAGCTCATCCAATCAATCGAACCCTGGTGCGAAGCATGAGGCAGGATACGATGCCTTCATGACTGGCTGCGTATTCGCTCAAATCTGCCATCTTCTAGGCATTGATTTCTCTATCTACAAGGGAAGTGACGTGGTAGAGCACGAGAAGTTGCAAAAACACCTGAACCTTCTCTACTTAGGTTGGAACAGTGGAACTATGGTGGACATGAAAACTGGGCAAGAGATTGCCCATTCGACAGTCACAAACCTTAAAAAGCGATACCCCAAAATTCAATTCTCAAACATTGTTCTGGTTTGGGGTTTTCAAAAGAAATTCAAGCCATGGGAGATGAAAGATATCGTAACTAAGGTCTTGGGTATATCTTCTGTTACTTCTGTATTTTACTTGGATGAAACAGCTGCGTTTGTACAGTTTAGTAAAGAGCAATATGTCCAAGATTTTCTTGTATTGAAGGACACTGTAGAGAGAGAAAGTGGCCCTTTATCAGTTCTCCACCCCTTGGGGAAATTATTGGAAGGAGGGAACACTCGGGCCGCTAAGTATGACATTTATAAGGAGATTTGCAGTTCTCCTCTCTCCAGAGTTTTGTTTGCCGACCAGACGGAAGCCATGGGGATTAAATGGAAAACAAAGGTTGAGATACAAAAACTAGAGCAGGCTGATGTTGGTGAAGGAGGTAGTGATAGGAAGAATGAGGTTGTAGCTGAAAAGAAGATTTTGAGAGACGGGAAACCACATATGGAAGGTTCAGAAGACTGTTTGTCAAGTGAAAGCATCTTGGATGTTTTGTATAGTAGCGGGTCTCTTATTTTTAAGAAGGTGAGAACTTGAATATTTGGTTCTCTTTTGTCGTTATTAAGTTTTGAAAGAGAGAGAGATCCCATTGTTAACTGTATAATTTATAGTTGCGCTGCTTTAATGCAAGGGTATTGTGTTTTTTAATTATGGAGTCCAATGTTTAAAAACTGTAAAAAATGCCGATTTGGATGGAAATTGGCTGATCTAATATGGGAATCTTCAATGCTGAACTGGTTCACGTCAAATATCGAGAACTTGCCAGTTTCCCCCATGACACGATCGGTTCGGGCTAGTTCTTTGACTGAACTGTGTCATTCAGCTAGGGTATGGAAAATCGAAAATATCGAAAATCCAGAGTGGTGATGCAGAACCGTGGTTGTAAACCTTGTTTGGACAATTGTTCATTCTCTTTCTCAGTTGTACTTCTCATTCAGCTAGGGTATGGACTCAGCCTGCAGGACTGTGATGTGCCTTATCCAAACGAGGCTCCTCTTGCAATGTTATGATCCTTATGATTTTTAGGTTCTGGTTTTCTTATACGTTTGGTCTTTTATTGAACGAAATACTCTACAGAAGCATGAAAGGTATATCTCAAAAAACCCATTGAAAAGAGTCGTTCTTATGCTGGAGCACCTTCTTATAGGATTACTTTGATCTCGAGATGTATGGATATGAAAAAAAGATTTTAACTTTTAAAAACAATACATCTCGTAGATGGCATCTAGATTATCCAATTTCACCATTTTCCAAGTATTTGTAAATCTATTTAATCCGTATTATTTTTGGAGCTTTTAAATTTTGTAACTAGGGATAAAAATAAACTTTCTGGCCTATGGAGTCCTGGCATCAATTGCAACTTTCAACAAGGTTTGAAGGTGTCTTATTTTAGTTGTTTAAGATAGACCCCTTGTACAAACTGAATTGTTTCGTAAGCGACGGTTTCTAGTTTGGGTGTGTGGTGAACTTATAATTGGGCTGGATGGTTTTTCAGTTTCGACATAGTGAGCATGCATGACATGGTCCCATAGGAGCACTTTGTACGCTTACTCCCTTGCATGAAAGAATCCGTTGGGGGAATTTTTTTGATATGAAGTATTGTGATCTACTTAGACGATTGACTTAAGAAAACAATTGGATTCAGTGGATTTTGACAATTAGAGATGTCAGTCCAAAAATGAAATGATCTCTCCATTCTTAGCATTTAAAACTTTTTAAGACTAAGAAAAAGTGTATCATTCTCTGTGTAAAAGCAAGCCTTTCCCATTCGCTTCGAGAATAGAAGAGAAAGTGTATTCTCTTTCCGACCCCTGCAAGGGAGAGAGCACACGGCCGAATTCTAGAGCGAGAGAGAGGATGCTAGTTTTTTTTTTTTCATTTTTTTTGTCAGCTCGTGATTCATATTTCTAGACAGAGAGAGAGAGAGGGAGAGAGCACGTGAAAAATTGCTCCCAATTTAATGAAAGTGAATCCTTTCTGTACTCCCACTGTTATATAACGCCTGCAACCCGTGAATGTCAGTTACATTCTCGTAACAGCCGAACTCTCGTCCTCCCTTCTCTCAGAAAATTACGTCACCCCACCGTGAAACAGCGTCACTACACTGTGAAATCATCTTCGCCTCCTATCCCTCCTCAAATTCTATATTTGCCCTCGACCTCACCACCGGCTCCCTCCTTGCCCCGTCTCCTCACTGTCTCCTCCCTCTTGCAGGAGAACCACTCTTAGTAGCCGCCTCTTCACCTGAAACTGCTCATATCTTTGTCTGGTCATTGCCTTCTCCCGCTCCTTCCTTCTCTTTTCCCACTCCACAGCAGGTACTCTCTGTGGCTGGCATTTCCGATATTCAGTACCTCTTCTCCGGTGGCTTCTCTGGCCAAATCCACTCCTTTATCACCAGAAAACCACTTGATATCTCCGGAAAACTGCTCCGCTCCTTTTCTGCTCATCGCTCTTCT